CTGACCAGCTAGTCCAGTCTGCTTGGTAAATGTGAGTCCAGTGAGAGACCCTGTCTCAGAAACAAGGACAGTATCTAAAGTACAGCTGAGGCTGTCCTTTCTCCCTTTGTACATATGTACATCTGCACATGTACATGAACACAGGCATGTAGGCACATGTGTTATAATAGTCATCATAATTGCCATGTTATCGGTAGACATTGTAGTAAATTCTATCCCCTCCAGAGAGATATGCTGAGTGGTGGATCAGCACTCCCACCACCAAGACGTGTGTGCTGAGGGGAGTCTGCAGATGGACACAGAGCCCCAAAAGACCTCGAAGCCCCCTTCCCTCAGGGAGTGTTGGTGCGCTGTGGGGAGTTGATTTTCCCCAAAGACAAGATTTCTCCTTGTCCTCAGCTGCTGGAATGTCCTCTACAGCCCTGGCCTGCCAGAGTTGTTCACCTGAGCAATTCAGCTGTGAGACCATGCAACTTGAGCATCTTGAATCTGAAAGAGTCTTAAGACGGGACCAGTCTCTGACCATGACTGATTATGTGTGCACATCTCTGCATTCTATTCAAATTTCAATGTCACTCAGGACCCGAAAGATGGAACTGACGAGACACTGGGTCTCGGTCTTTCCCTTTCCCCAGTGGCCTCTTCCTACTTTACCACTAATTGGTCTACTCTGGTTGTTTAATTGAGGATGGGTGGCTGAACCTGACTTCTGCAGATACAGACTGTGACCAGGAGTTTGGTAACCAGTGGGCAGTGATCCACAGCTGTTTCCCAGTCTCAAGTCTGTGCTCAGCAGCTGCTACCAACTCATGTGTTTCTTTGCCTCTGCACAAGTTCAGCCTAAGAAGTAGAATAGATAGTGTCCTCTGACCGTGACACACATGCCCACATACAAGTATCATACAGATCTCACATACTATAACCCACTAATTTCAAAATCGAAGTGACCTTTGCCCCTGTGGGCACCATGTCCTCTCAACCTGATGCAGCTGCTTCCCAGGAAGATCATGTTAGGACAGTTTCCAAGGATTGTTGGGGAGTGCCCTAAACCCCATCTCCTGGGACTGTCTGGAATGGCTGTGCCTGTCCAGAGAGAACCAGTCATGCAGGGGTTTGGGGGCAGTGCCAGGGCATCCCATAGAGGTGACCTGGGCAACTTGGTCTTAGATACAAACGCCTCCCAGGCTCCATCTTCAGTCAGCAGGCGACGCAGGTCATCTCTGCTGGCCATGTCCTGGAGATGCCCAGGGGCTTCCGTGGTGAAGTATCTGCTCTCTATGTGGAAATAAAGAATGAAGTCAGAGACGGGGCAGAGGGGCTGAAGTGGCATGGAGGACAAGGATCTTATGTCACGTCATGAGCTTTGGTTAATGACATTCTGCTGATGGATTGATTCGCCAGTGTTGTGGACTGAATTGTGTCCTTCGGTTTCTATGTAATAGTTGCAAAAGGCCCTGGTGTGTAGGAGAGCGCATCCTTCCTGCTTGCTTCTTTCTTCACAGGTTAGTGCCTGAGAGACTGTTGGCTGAAGAGTTGGAAATTCGGTAGACAGTATGCATTGGTAAAGTGTCTGCACTGTGGACCTTATAGTTCTGTGTGAGTCTGGGCTCACTCATCAGTCAGTGGGTGAGTTCTTGCTAAGCATGCCCTAGGCCCTGGGATTGATACCCAGTACCACAAAAACAAATGAATAGATACAAATTTGTCTTGCTCCACATGTATTCTGCCCTCCTTCTGGCCAGCAGGACAGTGAGCCTTCTTAGAAAAGCGACTCCTTGGGTATGTCCCAGGAGGTGTGAGGATGATCCAGTCTTTTCCTGTTCCTGGCCAACTGAAGTCTCAGGCTGAGAGCCTCTGTTCTCCACCAGTGCACAAGCTCTCCAAAAATGGCCAAGCAGGGGCTCCCAGCCCAGCATCTCCCAGTGTCTGCCTGACTTCATCCCTTGGGCAGACAGGGCTGAGGGCAGCAATCTCCTTCTGAGAATCTGTAATTCTCTCCATCTCTAGAATGAGGCAATTATTCTTTACCCCAAGGAAAATAATTCAAGACATGGAACCTATCACAGAGGGGCCCCCCCACCCACCCCACCTCAGCCAGCTTCAGTCCCTCCTGCTGATCTCCTCAAGCAACTTCCAGTTTTTGAGGCCTACACTGGGCTCTTCCCTACCCATCAAATGCCTCCATGCTCCACCCCTTGAAATCTCACAGGCCACCTCTTTCTGGGTGGCTTCTGCATTCCCTCCCTGGACTGAATACCCGGCTTTCCTGGGGCCCCTCTGTATATTAGTGTTGTTTCAGCATCAGCATCAGCCATGATGCCAGTAGTAGCCCAGTGCTGGTGCCAGAAACATCTAAGTTGGTATTGTCCTCCTGGGCCCAGGGTTCCCATATCTATCTCTGGGAGACATTAATTGGACATAGAGTCACCAATATCTGAGGATATAGCATCATTAAAGGAAAAAAGAATGACTGCTTTTCAACTTTCTTCTTCCTCCCCTTCCCCTGTCCTTATCATCCCAAAGATTCCAGAATGTTCTCTGCTTCTACATGCCTCGAGGACCACACTCCCTCCCTCAACACACACACACACACACACACACACACACACACACACACTCACACACACACACACACACACCCACACACACACCCCTGAAGTCTGACTGTTGACCTTGTGATTAACAAACAGCCCAGTGTGCTGTTTATGGGATTGTTCCCATTTTCCCTCCCTGCCCCACACTGACACCCTTCCCCACCTAATACACAGGGAACCATTTTTCTCTTCTCTATCCTCTACAGATAGAGGCCAGGACAGGCTCAGATCCTGTGACCCACCTGCTCAGCCTCTTTCACAGACTCCTCAGGAATACACACACCCTGGGTCCTCAGTTTCCCCTAGGGCATGGCACAGATAAATGCACAGAACTTTTAATGCACATTCTCTCGGCTTCTTAGATATCCAAGTCAACATTTGTCCTGGCTGGTCTAGGCAACCACAGTCCTGGTCCAACTTCAGGATTCGCCCAAGGACCAGTAAGTTCTCAGCCTCCTGCCCTCCTCCACATCCCTCAGTTTCCCCTTTTTTCCAACTGCTGGACATCCATAACTCTGCTGTCTATCAGGAGTCTGCCTGCCGTATCCTAGGCATTCCAGCACCTGAGCTGAGCCCCCACCACATGGTGATCCCATCTGAGGGCTTGCCCATCCTTCTTGTGTTTAGTGCAGAGAAAGAGCCAGATGCCGACCTGGCCGCAAGTCCAGTTTTTCTGAACTCAGAGCTGGTGATGATGCCTAAATTTACTGAGTCCATCCCTCCAATGAGGCAATTATCCCTTATCCCAAGGTAAAATCATGAAGAGGAGGAGGAAGAGGAGCTGAAGAGGCTCAACTTACCAAGGAGTCTGGATCTGGTGAGTTTGAATAGGACACAGATATCCTTAACTGTGTAGATTCTGTCAACAGGTGCACATCTGAGTCATAAGGAGAAACAGCCTCTGGGCGGATAGACCTAGCTGGGAAATAGAAACTGAACGTCTCACCTGGGCAGACCTGGTCCAATCAGCATCCTGCAATGGATGGGTGCCACCCACTGCCCCACCCATCTTGCCGAGTCAAAAGAGTGACCTCAGCTCAACACTCCCAATTCTGCTCTGGGTAACCCATGTCTGGTGGGTTCTCCATGGTGGGAAGACCCACCACCACAAACTGTGGAGCCCTCCACAGATCACACCCAGCCCCTTCCTGCTCTGGCAAGCCTCCCCAGTGCCCTAGCACACCCCACCCCATCCCTCCTGCACTTCAGCGGAACATCCCAGTGCCATTGGTTGACGTGGACAGCGCTGCTGAGTGTGGCAGGCACAGTGCTCAGACAGCTGCCTATGTGGATTCTTCTGCCTCACGTCTCTGCTCCGTTCTCAGACCATTCCAGAGATTCCTCTGAGAAACCCCAGCATCTTACATGGCAGACTCCCTGGCTCCCTGATTGGCTCCTATAATCCCTAGACTAGAGGAGGCAAAGCCCATCTCTGATAGAAATTTTGTGTCTACAACCTCAGGTGGGATGGCTGTGGAATACCACAGCTTTCCTCCATGCAGCAGGGGATTTAAGCATGGCTGGACCTCAGTGGCCAATTGTGCCTTGTATGAGGAAAGGTTCCATTCCACACAAATGTCCTGCAGCTTAGCGGCCATCCCCACTCTTGAGAGAAGGACAGCAGGTGACATGGGATCCTCACCCTATCACTGTCAACACACTTATTTCAGTGTTTACTGAGTTTTATTCCTTATTGTCCACCTCTTCTCCTAGTTTCCAAAATCACACGCAAGTGTTGTGTTCATATGGAGGGAGCGCTGTGACTTTCTGTTGAGGACAGTGAGGCTCTGGGAGAGGGAATGGCTTATATCCCAGGGTTCAGGGACTTGTCAAACTCGAACCAAGATTCAGCATTAGACATTAGACAACTGTGACCATACTTTCTTGCCTGAAGTCATCTGGGGACTAGGTAGTTTGGTTCTCAGTTCATACATACATCATGTGGCCACAACCTCCTGTAATTTCAGCTGCAGGGGAGCGGACACACCGTTATGATCACTGTAGGCACTGTACACAG